CTTTAGGGAGACAAGGAAGTGGTGTTATCCTCTATGTCTATGACCAGTTGGAGGGCATGAAGCTCACCCTGGGAATGGATGAGGAGCCAACCAAAATCCTATGGGTCAGAAATAAAGGGAGGGTAGGGACAGGCGACATTATAGTGTGGGTCTGCTACAGGACACTAGACCAGGAATACTAAGCAAATAAGGCCCTCTACAGACAGATAGGAGCAGCCTATCTGCTCACAAGCCCTGTTCATAAACCCCAGTCCTCATGGGGGACTTCAATCACCCTGATAACTGTGTTGTCCCTGTGCTGGAGGGACACAGTAGGACACAAGCAACTCCAGAGGTTCCTGGAATGAGTCGATGGTAAGTTCCTTCTCCAAGTCACAGGGGAGTCAATGAGGAGAGGCGCTATGCTGGACCTTGTTCTTATGAACAAGGAGGGGCTGGTGGAGAATCTGAAGCTCAAGGGAAGACTGGAATGCAGCGACCATGAAAAGGTGATGTTCGAGATCTTTAGGCTAGCAAGGAGGGCGTACAGCAAGCTCACTATCTTGGATTTCGGGAGAGCAGACTTTGACCTCTTCAGAAACCTGCCTGGTAGAGTACCATGGGATAAAGCTCTGGAGGGAAGTGGGGCAGAGGGAAGTGGGTCAGTATTCAAGGATCTCCTCCTTCAACCTCAGAAGTGATGCATCCCAACAAAGTCAAGCAAAAATGTCAGGAGTCTTGTGTGAATGAACAAGGAGTTCCTGGACAAACTCAAATACAAAATGGAAGCCTACCAAGGGTGGTTCCTACAGAGCTTACTTGGACAATTCCTGTAAATGAACTGTCCAAGTCGACAGGGATCTGGTAAGGAAAGATAAAGCCCTGATAGAATTAAATCTCGCCACAGTCATCAGAGGCAACAAGAAAAGCTTCTGTAGGTACATTGGTGATAAAAGAAAGAAGACTAGGGAAAATGTGGGCCCTCTCTGGGAAGAAACAGGAGACTTGGTTACCTGGGATATGGAGAAGGTTTAAGTCCTCAACAATTCTTTTGCTTTGGAACACCGGCAAGTGTTCCAGCCACAATGCCCAAATTGCAGAAGGCAAAGGCAGGAACCAGGAGAATGAAGAACTGCCTGCTGTAGGAGAAGATCAGGTTTGAGACCATCTAAGCAACCTGACAGTGCACAAGTCCATGGGACCTGATGAGATGCATCTGCAGATCCTGAGGGAACTGGTGGAGGAAGTGGCTATATTTAAGAAGTCACGACAGTAAGGTGAAGTTTCCACGGACTGGAAAAAGAGAAACATAACACACATTTTTAAAAAGGAAAAAAAAAAGACCCAGGGAACTACAGGCCAATCAGTCTCACATCTGTGCCTGACAAGATTATGGAAAATAATAGTTTTGCTCTTGGAAACTATGCTATGGCACATAAAAAATAAGGAGCTGATTGGTGATAGCTGACAGGGAATTTTGTGATAGCCAACAGGGAAAACTGTGACTGACAAATTTGCTGGCCTTCTGTGACAGGGTTACAGAAGCAGTGGATACAGTGAAAGCAACAGACATCATCTACCTGCACTTCTGCAAAGCACTTGACCATGTCCCGCACAACCAACTTGTATCTAAATTGAAGATACGTGGATTTGACAGGTTGGACCACTTGGTGGATAAGAAATTAGCTGGATGGTCGCACTCAAAGAGTTGTGGTCAACAGCTCATGTCCAAGTGGAGATCAGTGACGAATAGTGTTCCTCAGGGGTCACTACTGGGACCAGCACTGTTTAACATCTTTGTCAGTGACATGGACAATGGGACCGAGCGAACCCTCAGCAAGTTTGCTGGTGACAACAAGATGTGTGATGTGTTCGATACGCTGGAGGGAAGAGATGGGCCATCCAGAGGGATCTTGACAGGCTTGAGAAGTGGATCTGTGAACCTCATGAAATTCAACAAGGCCAAGTGCAAGGTGCTACACCTTGGTCAGGGCAACCCCAAACATGGATACAAGTTGGGTGGAGAATGGATCAAGACCAGCCCCGAGGAAAAGGGCTTCGGGGTGCTGGTGGACAAGAAGCTCAACATGACCCAGCAATGTGCACTTGCAGCCCAGAAAGCCAACTGTATCCTGGGCTGCATGAAAAGAAGTGTGACCAGCAGGATGAGGGAGGGGATTCTCCCCCTCTACTCCACTCTCGTGAGCCCCCCACCTGGGCATCCAGCCCTGGGGTCCCCAACATAAGAAGAACGTGGATCTGCTAAAGCAAGTCCAAAACAGGGCCATGATGATGAAACAGGGTTGGAGCACTTCTCCTATGAAGACAGACTGAGAAAGCTGAGATTGTTCAGCTTGGAGAAGGGAAGGCTCTGGGGAGACCTTACAGCAGCCTTCCACTTTTTACAAGGGCCCATAGTGCTAGGATGAGGGACATAGTGGCTTCAAACTGAAAGAGAGTAGGTTTAGTTTAGATATTAGGAAGAAATTCTTTACTTGTGACAGTGATGAGGCACTGGAACAGGCTGCTTAGAGAAGTTGTGGATGCCTCATCTCTGGAAGAGTTCAAGCTCAGGTTGGATGGGGCCCGGAGCAATCTGGTCTAGTGAAAGGTGTCCATGCCATGGCAAGAGGTTTGAACTAGATGACTTTTAATGTCCCTTCCAACTTTAACCATTCTATGATATAGAAATTTTCACACGGCATTCTCCATGTTCCAAAGGAATAAAGAGCTTCAAAATAACCTATGCATCTATGGCAGATGCAGTTCTAGTATAAGGAATTCATTGCCAAGGACATACAGAAAAAGACAAGGAACACTACTCAGTTGGCATAGCAGAAGTCATGGAAGCATATGCACTACAATCACTACTATATATACCAAAACCTGTGTGCAGGTTGCTTCAGGAAACCCTTACAACACTGATTGCTGGAAATGGGTACACTAGGGGAACATTTCTCAGCAATTTGGTCGCTGTGCATCTTTTATGAACTTGATGCCTTACATCAGGCTGTGCTGAGGTCCAAAAATCAAGCAGCACAGGGGCATGAAGGCAGTGGAAGCAGAAGCAACAAGGAAGAGACAATGAAGACACTCAGAACTGCCAAAAGAAAACCCCAATCAAAACAAAAAGCACCCTACAGGAAGAAGACATTACTCTTTCAGTCAGCATTTCTTCTATATATTTTCTAAGCACCCACTGCTGGGGACAGGATATTCAACTGGTCCTTGGTACAGGAAGTTTTTATGTCTATCTATATTGTAAAATGAAAGATCACTTTGTATCTCAGGAATGATCAATCTTACAAACTTACAAACACAGTGCACAGTCTCCATTAACTTATGAGTAACTCCAAAATGCAAATTAAAAAATCTGTTAAAATTATGTCTCATATACAATAAACACAGGTATTCTTTCTCTCAATAAATTATTTTTCTGATCATCATGATGCAGACCTTTCACTTCACTGCCATTACCTGAAGGTCTACAAAACATTCATATCACCTCTTGTAATTTGCCTTTGAAACTGCATAGTGTAGTTTCCAACATGAAAATAATTGCCAAATAACTGAAATATAAGAAGATGAACATGATCTGTAGGACATAGCTGCTAAAACTTCATAAATTTTCTACCAATCATGGACAGCAAATATTTGCATGTTATCTCTTTTCTAATTGTATTTACATACATATATAGAATAGTGAGATTTTATGGTGTTGAACGTTACATCAGGATTTCACACTTCTGGAAACAACCCACTCACAATTTCCGTACTACTAAACAAGACAACATATAAACACAATTATCAATAAGACATGATATTTGAGAAAAACTCAAATAACCCAGATAAAGTGAATGTTTATGTCATTCAAAGGTATGAGCAGCAAATCACAGCATCTACTTCTCCTCTTGTGTTTTTCAAATGTACTTTCATGGAAGACAAAATACTCAAGAGGAACTTTATTTTCATGAAAGGTGTCATCGGAAAGATGTGTGATTTTTCATGGATGCCTACCAATACCTGTCTGTTCTGCTGCTACTGTCTCCAGGGTTGCTGGAGAAGCACGCAGTTTACTCTCCCACTGAGACTATGTATTCTATGAAACACCCTCTCAAAATGAATAAATTCCCCTTGGATCCATCCACTGTTCATGTGTGGGAAAGTAACACTCTTCTTTTTAACAGTTATTACTGATAATATTTATTGTACATTACTGTTGTATTTACTTTAGTGCTAGCTTGCATTTCCCTGTGCTGAATTTTAAGAGATGCTGCACACTCCACAAGCTGCTACCTTCATTCCACACCTGCCTACTCAAAGACCTCATTGAGCTTTCTCAACACTGTGCAGCTATGCTCAAGAATATATTATAACTGGTGAGAAAAGGAAGATGCTATATATTTTAAACCAGGAGTGTTCATCGAATTCACTTATACTGCCATCTAAGTTCCTGCTTTTATGATAAAACCACTTCCTTGTAATATTTCACTTTGCTTAGCACAGTCAATCATGCCAAAGGAAACTGAGTTTTAACACTAAGCTGTGTTATTTCTGATTTTGACAATTAGTCGGTCGACTTTACACTTTAAAAAAGGAAACATCAGTACAGAGTGCTCAATGCAAAACTTCAGAGAGTCTCACAAATGCTTACTTTTCATTCTAAAATTACAGAAAACTGTTTCTACAGAACTATGTTTCACTGAGAAAGAGCGAGTAGTTAAATGCCAGTACCAATGCAGAAGTACTGCACTGCTGAGTTAGAGGGAAGAATTTAGGAGCACAGTAATAAGGAAAACTATAAACAGGAAACATGTAAAACTACTTTTTCCCATCATATATGAGTGCTTGTATAGATTTTATAGATTAAGATCAATTTTAGCTGAGTTGGCAGTCAACTGAAAACAACTTCTAGAAAGAAACAATTAATTCTTAACATTTGATGGAAAGTATGTTTGCACTACTTAAATCTGTAAAATGCACTAGAGTCAGGGAAAGAAAAAATCATTACAAAAGTATACCTTTAATGTTTCAATTTCTTCTTTGTGTTCCCTCTTTAAATGTAAAATGGCAGCTTGGTACTCTGTAAAAATAAAAAGTACATTGGAGTCAGAAAACAATGTGCCATCTTCAGCACAGAATATTTCATACAACACTACTGAGTCCAGAAGGCAGATGTAGGCTCTCAAATAAATGACCTTTTACAGTGGTGATGGAAAAGAAAATCTGAACACAGTAATTAGCACTTTTTTCTATGACCACATGATTTTCCATGGTGTTTCTGACAGAAGAGGATAAAGAAAAGAGGTCTTCCATGTTGAGAGGGGAAAACTGTGGGAAGATATGGCAGACTGGAATAACAATAAGAAACTTTAGTTTGGCTGAGTTCTGCAGATAAATGTAGAACTGACAGAATATTATGACATACACATGAATGCACATACACTTCCCCCCAAATGATAAAATAACATGCATTAAATATAACAATTTAAATGGAACTGTAAACATATAATCACTATACACAGTCAAATTGGATAAAATAGCAATTACAAATGCAAATGAAGACCTGGAAAGGTACCCAACAGCAAGAGATACAAAGAATTCTTTGTCTAAATTCTATCAGATTAAGATTAATTACAGAGTATACGTATCTTCAGAGGATACCGTGAATAGGATACAGGATAGCTCTTCCATTTAGTGAGAATATAACAAAATCCAAAGGTATTATAATTAAAAGCACGAAACTTAAAGCCAGAGAAATTCAAATCAGCAGTGCAAAAACGAGAAGGTTGAGCATTGATTATGGAGGTTTAGTGATGGCTGTAATGTTAAGATGTAGGTTCATGAAATGGATCTCCAGAACCTGGGTCTCATGCTATGGCTCCTCTCAATCCATACATTTGGCCAGATGAAGAAAGATACGCACTTTTGATATACTGGTGTAATGGTTTGAGAGAAGCCTGTCTTCTATAACACATTGTCCCAGAAACTACAGCCCTCCTAAACAAGCAACTGGAGTTCATTCTTAGATGACCAAAGTCCCACTTCTATCTGCTTCCAAATTAAAAATTCAGAAGTGTATTTCCAGTTCCCTGGTTTGGCTTCTGCTTCCTCAGATAAAAGAGGAATTAAATCCTAATTTAAACAAGGATTAAAAATAGTCCAAGGAATTTAAATGTTACTGTCAATGTTCTCTAACACTAAGGATTTTGTATGGTCTGTTCAGCAGCAGAACATTAAAGTACCAAAGCGTGGACCAAAGTACCAGAGCAGTAAAATATTCCAATGCTTAGGTGCTTTTTTTTTTCTTTTTTTTTTCTTTTTTTCTCTTCAGAGCACATGAAGGAAAGAGGAAAGAAAAGATAACCTCATCATCACCCTGAAATCTACATGACATCAAAACTTTTAATGTAAACCTACTTTTTTCAAACACAGGTGAAGCTATGTGCAAGCAGCTGAATTGATATACAAAGTCAGAAGGAAAAGGACTGATATTTTACAAGGCACGAAATAAAAACCTTGGGTGATTCCAGCTAGTAATAGTATCTATCTAAACTTCTCCTTCCTCTCTAACAGGTCTCTACTCAGAGCTTTCCAGCAAGAGAAAATTGCCTGACTGCTCTGCTGGAATCACAACCAGTTAGGTCTACAAACTTTTAAATTTTCTGCTGTTAATTCCTTTGACTGGTTGATATTCCCTCTGGACATGGGCTCTGCATGTCCGTTCACCTAAAGAGGACTTAAACTGTTGCCTCAGGTCCCCAGAAAAAGTTATGACCCTTCTGTCACCTCAGCTGCTTAAGCACTCAGTTTGCAGGGCATGAACCTCACGAACATCCTGACTTGAAGTTTAGCTCTTCAAGGTCAAATGATAACTGAAGCAAAGAACAAACTTTGAAAATGCTGCTAACAATCAGTTCTTAGTTTGGCTAACAGAAGGATACAACTCTATCTTAACAAAAGGTCGACTTTCTATGTAGGACTGCCACATGCTTAAAATTCTTTGGGATTTGGGTTAGTCATAATTCACATATGCTGACATAGAGCTGCACTAGCACCAGAAGCAGATTTTTCACATCTACCTATTCCCAGCCTTCTGCTGCTGACTTTTTTTATTTTGGTACAAATGTCTGTGCAGTCAGAGAAGATGGAAGAACCCCCACGAATGAAATCTAACACAGCATAAAGTTAAGAAATCTTTTAAATATTAAGTGTATGTCATTTTGGTGACAGGCATTTTGCAAGATACCTTGTCAGGGAGAGATCTGTCTCTCAGACCAGACTACCCACAAGTCCACTTAATGACAGACTATTTAGACAATATAACTTTACTAACCTAAGATCATAGATGGTACGTATGCACAGAGCAATTCTAACAATTTCTAATATCAGTTACTTTAATTAATGCAAAAGTCTTAACACTGTCTTACTTTCTAAGAAGTATCCATGAAGCTGAAACAAACATGACCGGACTCCCATTACGAAACTTCAAAGAAAATAAGAGGGCTTCAAACTCCTTTGGATTTATCTCTTCTGATATGATGTCCACTTGCATTATCATCTAAATGGTGTTATATGGTAGAATTAAGGACTAATTTGTTCTTCAGTGACATAATGCATCCAGAGTTTATTCTGGTCATAAGGTTTGTTTATAAGTCTTGTAAGACTAACTCAACTACAAAAAAGGATCAAGAAAAGAACCCCCAACACCAAATCTTAATCCTTACAAAGTTTTAAGTCAGCAGATTGCTATTCTGTAATTCTATGAAAAGCATGAAAACAGGAAACTACTTAATGAATAAATATACACAGAAAAATATTAATGCTTTGAAACATGCCTTATTCAGCTAATGTCAGTTACTTCAGCAAGCAATTGCAGAAGTGACAAGTTATTTTAGAAAAAACAGGAATTCTATCAAAAAATTCTTTTTAAAAATGAGTTCCAACTCAGCCTCATTTAGTTATTACACATTTTGACAATAATTCCTCATCCCTGGCAGTGCTCAAGGCCAGGTTAGATGGGACACTGAGCAACTTAGTCTACTGGGAGGTGTCCCTGCCTATAGCAGGGGAGTTGGGACCAAATGAACTTTAAGATCCCTTCCAACCCAAATCATTCTATGATTCTATAATTCCATTATTTGAAAGAGCTGCTTAAAAGTAGCTTCCAAGTCATGAGAGCTTGTTCAAAATATCTTTCTCAGGCTTCACTTGAAATCCACCAACAGCCAAGGCTTTGTGTGTCCTGTTCTTGGTGAATACAAAACTGAGCAAGAAAACACAAAAAGACGCAGCAGGGACTATAACTGAAATAAACTTTCAAAAATCAGGTTAATATAGTTCATGCTTTTTCTTAAAGCTCAATTAAATCTCCTTTTCCTTCAAAAGACATCTGTACTGATTCATTACTGGGAGGTGTCCCTGCCCATGGTAGGGTGGGTTGGGACTGGATGATCTTTAAGGTCCATTCCAACCCCTTAACATTCTGTGATTTTATGATTACTAATGGTATTATCAGTTACTATCTAATTAGCCCTCACACAGTTTTCAGTGAGATTTTACTGTATTTTTTGGCAGTCTTAAATGTGCTCCTGTTTTGAATAAGGATCAGTGTATGACCAACTACGTCAGAGTTATGGAAAAGTAAAAAGCTATCATCAATTTAATTCTTTCAAACTGACTAGTATTACACTACTAAACAGTGCAAATTTCTCGTACAAAGAGCTTCTGTTCCTGCTATTTATATTCAATATTTATTCAAATCAGTAAAAGTATATTGCCACAATATTTCTCATTTATGAATTTGCTTCACCTTGTTTTTTTGCTTAAATTCAGCAATTTACCTCAGTTGTATGTAACATACACCTCAGAACGAAGGACCACAGCCCACCCACTCAGAAAGAACTTCACTAGCTCAATTTTCACTACAGTCTTTGCTTCAAAGATTTTCAGAATAAACACTGCCAGATTATAACAAGTCTAATTATTAGGCAAATTAGATTAGCTCTAAAATTGGTTACATCTACCTGGAGTCTGCTCACAGACAAGATAAATGAGCGGGGAAAAAAGAGGAAGAGAAAGTAATACACCAGTTCTCAATTGTGATCTTCTTCTAATCAGGCTTCAAATCTTAACTTTGTAAAATTTTACACTCAGCACTGTGAAATGGATCTGAAAGTCAACCTAAATTCCACTCACTTTAGTGGGATGGCAGACACTGAAACTGAAGTAACATAAGCTAGAATTCTTAAAACAGTTCCTGATGTATTATAGAACTTCTGTAGTTTTTATCAAATGTTTAGTTCTAAACAATGAACTAAACATGTATAGCAGACTCTGCACTTACCATTTCTACTCCATCAAGGAAAAGTAAATACTACCTTTATGGTAACAAAAGAGACCAAAGACTAGATACAGATGGACAACATTGTACATACACTGTTCCACCCACCTGGTGGTCCCTCCTTGTAAACGTTTAGGTGAGCTAGAGACAAAAGCGTAAGTAAGATATTTAAGCTTCACACAGGGAATGTATATTTTACAGTCCTGAATTACATATGCTAGGAGGGAGTCTGGGGGACCGCATGCTTTTTATTCATTACTACAAACATATAACTCAGTTGCTATTTTCAGCTCCTGCTTATATAATTTTGTCTTGCAAAAAAATATCAACTGCTTGTGAACTGCCTAATTTCTGAAGTGCTGCTAGACATTAGCACTGTCTATCAAACCAAATCAAAATCAAATAGCAAGTACTTAAAAAAATTCCTACCATGTAAAAAAGCCCATGGACATTCCTTGGGCCACATGCAGTAACACTCTGAAAACAAACTTGCAAATATTTCTTTAAAGCTCTCAGCTTGATATATACACAGAATGGCATATCACACATTGCAGAATGATGAAATAATTTATTTTGTTCATTCCTCAAGATTTCCAATTGGAAATAACAACCATGTTTACTCATTATTGTATTCTCATGCTATTTGTTAAGGCAAGGAGACCAAAGCAGATCAGAAAGCTTAGACTCTTCTGAGAGATTCATTCCATACAATCTGATTAGAAGACAGAAGTTTGGGGTAGGAACACTTCCAAGAATTCCTTGTTTTGCTTTTTGTCTCCAAAACATGCATTTTAAAAAACAAAAATTACAAACTGTACAACAACAGTGAAAGACATTGTTCACATATATGACAGATGACATATGCCACCACGTGGCAGATATAAAACATATAAAATATTCTTAATGATAAATAAAGTATGAGGCATGCTTCGCTATTTTGCAAACAAAGTAACACTACAGCATGCATGCCTTTCCTTAATGCATAGAAAATCAAACATAAAATTATGATGTCTTGGACAACAACCTATGTAATTTATGGAAATGTTGAATATATGTTCAGTTTTATCATCACACAGAATTTGTCTGAAAACAGAGAACCAATAATGTTTATAAACACACACAATACATGCTCATGAAAATCTTTGTTGTCATATTGAGGAAGCTGCACTGTTCATGACCCTTTCTAAAACAAAAGGTACAAATATTCACTGGTAAATCTGGTGACCTGAAAAAATTCAAGCTACATCCCTGGGAATACTGGATACAGAAGGTCACAATGTTTTGAATGGAAATTTTCATTCTTCAAAACTGTTGTGAAAAGCAAGTATACACATTCAAATATTATGCAGTATTATTCTATTTGTGTGCAAAACTGCTGTGCAAGAATTTCCTTTTCTTCTCTGGTAATAAAACAACTTAACTACTTGAATAATTTTAAATAAAATCTTATACGAAAACCTTTCCCACAGAAATCTCCATAACTTACACATCAAATAGATGGGTTACTCCTCAAACTTTACATAAGCAATTTAGTAACCTTTTCTGCCATGACCTCAAAACTTCAAGTAGAAAGTAGAAGCTTTGAAGTTAAATGACCTATATAGCCACTTCTGGTCAGGACCTCATTTTTGTAAAAAGCCTTATATATTAAAGTCGGTACGTGGAAACATGCAAAATAACGTTAAGACAATTTAAAAGTAATTAGAGAACAAAAGCTGGAAAACTTGAGTGCAATCTACCTCTCTTGAGATGTACCTCACCCTGTAGCATAAAGGAAATCATAAACTTATAATTGAGTCGATTCATTAAATTTCATAATAGTGAGAGTTCCTTAATGTTTTCTTCCAGCATGGTAACCCTTGGTCCCATCATTTTCAATATTCTCTTTTCCTGTAAGTCTTTGTTTCCTCCTCCATTATTTCCCCATGTCGTTCTCATCTTTAACCACCAGGTGTCAGAAAGGAATCTACTCACTACAGCTACATCTTCTTTCTTACTTTTTATTTATTTTTACAGATGCATTGATTTGACCTTCCAGGCTTTTTCATGCTGCAGTCATAAACAGCAGCAAATTTTCTTCCAATAAACACAGACATGAGCAACTTTTAAAACATGTTTGTAATTTGTTCATTCCTGGAACGGTCTTTATAAAGCATATCTGCATTTAAAAATCCTTTTATAAGTAGGAAAATAAAATTTATTTATGCTCGAAGAAATTCACAGAATTACCTACTTTTTAGGGACAGAGGATTGGCTAAAACAATACTGCATGTAGTTTTAGTACATGATTCTAATCCTTATTCCCCCACTCCACTCCACCTACTCCTATCTGTCCTCCTTTCTTTACTTCCCACTGAACCTGAACTCTTTTCTTTTACAGCCCCATAATTCATTATATGTAAGGATGTCAATTCTGTAGACTGGGAAATGAGCAGACACCTTCAATTTTTGGGGGGGGTTCTTGTTTGGTTGGTTTTTGTTTTACTTTTAAGAGAAGGAAGAACCCTCCAAACCTAAAATTTCGAATATTTTCAGCACCTTTAAGATTCTGGTACAATGAAAATATGGTAGATGTGAGGAAGGGAAACAGATGGAGAGGGACTTGTGGAGAATAAACAGTTTTAAACAAGCCAATAGTCCAGTATCTAAATACTGTCTGGATGCTAAGATAATACAGAGGATATTAGAGTAAACTTACTACACGAAATGAAGTTTCTTCACCACACACACTGAATTCCCTAAAAATAACAGAACTATATGCACAGAAAACGAGCTTCCTACAGAAAAACCAGCACCCTTGATTCTCTGGTTATGAAAATGAAGAAAACAGTTACTCCTCTTTCTGACAACAAAGAAGTATGAAGCACTATTCAGAAGCAATCACCTGAGTAACTGATCTATTTGACCATTCCTCAGCTGTGAGAGGTTACAGTTACAGTTCTTTTACCTGACAGTAGGAACTAATAGATTCAGTTGCCATTTTCACCCTCCCAGGAAGGCCACATTAGAAGTACTGCTGCCGGGGACAGTCAACAATGATTCTTTCTCAATAAACATCCTACTTCATATTTACAAATCTGATCTATTACAGGATTACATTCTCCAGTGCAATATGGTAAACAAATAACACCTTATTAGGAAACACGAGGCACAGATTTATTACAGAATTTCTTTGATGAATTACAGACTCTACCGACTTAATTAAGCACAAATTTAAAACACAAAGTACTTATTATTCTAGAACTATAACACCTTCGCAATCACTATATACTATATATAGTAAGTATACATTGCGAGTCCATGCATACTATACATGCAGTATACGTGCATATTCAGTCATATGGGGGTGGGCATGTGAGTGAATGAAAGTACAATACAGATTCACACACAGAGACACACCAGTTCCCCCATATAATAGTCTCAGCAATTCTGAAGTTTAGAACTGCTATCACACTTAAAACACGGACATATGTAAAACTAAGAAATGTACAATAAATTGAGTTTGATTTTTTACAGATAAGAGTACACGTCTGTGCTGTAGCAGAGAGGGCAATCTTGGCAGGGCTGATATTGAATTTATCTAAAAAGAAACCCAAAAGCCAGTCAAAAATCCAGGTGCAAATTTTTAGAAAGCATTAGTGTGTTCAGATCCAGGGTTCAATTTAGACTAGTATCTAAATCTCTCGTGTTCAAATGCTGGGCCAAACAGTACTTCAGAACACATGAACAGTGAGACTGGAGAACAGGAAAGGGAATTCAGTAAAACTCAGAGGCATTTCTGTTACACAAAGGGCCTCATATATTTTGAAATAGAACCATGGAAATAAAATACAAAGTCATTCTTCTTGTGCTGTACACAATTGCTCTTTCACTGTGTTTCAATTATATAACAGGAATCATCTTGTAAAACCCTCTGACTGTTTTGGGCCTTTTCAACATCAGATTGGTCACGTCCATAGTGGGGTCTACATTTCAAAATAAAAATCACAGTAAAAGAAATAATTCACAGAACTTGCCTTCCTCATATTCAGGTAACAGATTATTCTTCTCATAAGGAAAAAAATTAACCTTAGAATGAAGTTGCTACTTTGAGTGGACCAAAGCTGTTCTGTATGTGAATCCTTAAGCTTGTTGGTATTTATGGCTACACACATATAGGCATCCAGAATGGTTTTGTATACTGTAAAAAATGTCTCAAAACTTTCCTGAAGTCATTCTAGAAAGTAGCAAAAGGATTGAACATGGAACACGAGCATGTTAACAGCAATCTTCATCATCAACAGGTGCCTATCTTTTTGTTCCTATCTCAAGAGGCACAGTATGAATGTCGGTGTCAGCAGAGGTAGGGAAAGAAAAGCAAAGGCAACTTTTGTTGCTTGCTTGGTTTTGAGTTTTGGGGTTTTTTTAATATTTTCAACGTACATCTTAGCAGACAGTGCTGCAAGATATCTGGAACAGCAGCTACTGCAGTGGTACTGTAATGCAGTGTACAGCTCATTTGTGTGAGACTGTAGAGATTTCCAAGGAGCACTATACACAATATCTTCTAAATACATAAAGTTATAGCTTCAGCTAGCACAAGGAAGGGGCGCAAATGTCATTGTTACTCCAGAGGAATACAGTATGGCTACAACAGTCTGGTTTGTCATAAAAACCTCAACTTCTCAAAAACATGATGGTACATCTGTCAGAATACGAAACATTGACATAACATGGCCAAATACACCTGTCATGCTACACAATATAGACAGTAAAATAATTTACAACACCTTTACGCAGCTCACCTGCACTCTGAGATCACATCAAATTGATCACTGACCATTAAATCATAAAAGCACTATCTTCAACCAAAGCATAATACCCTGCTTGCTGTAGTCCTGCTTTATCTAATTCATTACAATAAAATTTATAATAGAATCCCGGAAGTAAATCCCAAATACCACAATGAAATCAAATAAACTTAAATTACTAATTTTTTTTTTATCTTTAGAGACAAACACAAACTGTTCAAGGCCACAAAGGAAGTTTAGTTAAAGAAAGATAAATCATGTTGGTATCTTTCATCTCTTTGTTCTGACCATTATGCCTCTCTTTCACATTAGCTGGTTGTTCCCTGCATTTACATCATGACCATAAAGTGATTTTCTTGCTGTGAACCCAGAGCACAAGGAGCCAAGGATTTAATATATTTGAGACTTAGCTATAAACTTCTGCCACTATTTTTTATTTCATTCACCATTTACCTGGTCATTTTTTGTTTAATAAGAGCTTTCTCAGTCACCTCCTGATTTTCTTATTTACACTGAAAATTGTGCTTACTTCATAACAGACTGTAATAAACATTGTGGCACCATTACCTCACTGCAGATTTAAGGATGATGAACATACAGACTGTGAGAGAAAGAGGTTTTTAAATGTTAAATACAGACATACACATTAACAAGAAAACATGTAGTGGAAAAAAAGACTAAAGGAATTAATGTTTCAAGTGGCTTTTTAAAAAACATTTTCTCCAGAAGGAATGCCAAATACTTTTTTCTCTCTTATTACTTTTTACATTTCTGTTTTGCTAAGCAATGGACTAAACTCTCTGTTTATATAAGAGAACTAGTTTGATGCTGATGGTTAAAAACGCATTTTTAATAGGAATCACAGAATCTGTGTATGTACACCACCTTAATGTGGAGACAGTTCTTCAAACATAAGTAGTTTTATGAGCAGCAGAACCCATGGTTAAATTCCTTTCCTTGGACATGGGAGTCTGCAAGTGCTGACCCGGGCATACACAGCAGATGAGATATATGTGGACTCCATGTGATGTAGCATTGCACATGAGTTTACTCAGTATAGACATGAATTTGTATCCTCTACCTGGCTCGATATTTTCACCATATGTAAGAGCTGACACATCTACCCTTCTGTCAGATTTAATGCTTTAAAATTAGAGAAATCTCTCTAAGAATTATGGAGGAAAAATAAAAAAAAAACTTTTAATGAAAGCAGATGAACAAAACTTTACGACCAGAAAAATATGCAGAGAGATGTCTTGGATTACATGGATTTTCATGGAAAAACTATATATTAAAATAACCTTTTTTTTAGTCTTCTGGGATATAAATGTACTACAGGCTTTCTGGACTTCAGCTATTTTAGAAACACTTCAAACAAGTTCCAGTTTCTCTAAAGAACCATGTAAGCAGCTTGTCTTAATTAGAGAGCCAGCTAACAAAACAGTCTATGCTCTATGGAAACAGAGGAATTAAAGGATTAAGAAAACATAAGATAAACCAAAATACTGTAACATCATCCTTTTAATTCAAAACTTACAACCCAGGATTCGGGTGTTGAAGGTGACAAAACTACGACTACACAAGGTGTTATCAAATGCATGAAAAAAACCTGTTGCAGAGTTGTATTTGTTCACAAACTTCTTTCACTTCTAATATTCCTAACAGGCCTAGTCAGCCTCACACACTTGTTCCTTACTATGTCCATTTGCTTTTCAGTTTGTTTCCCACACATCAAGGCAGACTACGAGCCTCAGGAGGGAGTTAGCTACTCCTCCAAGCTGCTATGAATCATTGTCATGTCTGCTGCGTAGGCCAAATTAAGCCTGAATTTCTTGCTTCCACTAGGCAACAAGAACAGTGAGGAAAAACATGGCAAGAAGGTGAGAAAAGATCAAAAAGCCAGGAATCCTCTCCCTCAATATCCCTACCTTCCTGCCATAGTTGTCATAGTGCACAGTGATGAAGGAAGCAAATCAAAGACACAATGTAGAATTGCAAAAAAGATTACAGTATTACAACTTTCAAGTGTTCAGTCTTACTTAAATCCTATTTTATTGTGACAAACGAAAAAAAAAATCTATGCTACCTCATAAAATATGTACATATTCTTGTACCCTATTAGAAGTACAAAGACAAATTGACAGATTTATCCTTGGATGTGATCACATTTGTGACATATATTTTGTCTAAGCCTAAAATAAAGCTGTACTAAATGAACTTACCTAATAATTCCTCCTCTTATTATTGTTTTTATATAAATTCCTATTGTTTCAGCAGATTAAACTCTTTACCACAGAAATTAAAACAGTAACATATAGAGCTGACTGAAAGTTAAAAGAAGCCAATTTGGCATTTTTTATGTTACAGATATTCATCTATTCAGAAACGTCAGTGGAGGAAGACTAGAATCACAAACATCCCTACCACACACAATTTTTAAACTCTCTTCTGAGATCAAGAACTTTTCATTTTATCTTAGTTGTCCAGACAGGACACTGAGGTAAGAAATAAGGTTTCTGTTTGAGACCAGTCAGTTTAATGCCGCGTTATAGCATAGTTTTAAGAAGTCCACTTCAGGAGACAAGAAGTTCCTAAAGTACTGGTGTCTGGATGGGAAGGGGCATGAAGGGAAATGCCAGTATACACATGCACTTCAAAGGTACCAACTGCTGTCGGAAAGAAGACACTGAATTCAGAAATTTTGCTGCATTGCCATTTTCATATTCACTAGAAAATCGCCACAAACCCCCAGCAATAAAACCAACATTGAATACAAAACCTATTCACTACTCACAAACAGTACCTTTCTTTACTTGCAGTTTTTACAGTGCTTTAAAACAGTCACCTAACTACTCAGAAAGGTCAATGTAACTGATCCATCATGTGCAACTTCCAACTGCTTGCAGTGTCCTTGCTGCCGCAACTGCTTTCTGGGAATCCACAAATAGCTGCAAGAAGCACACCTGCTAATCTCTGAGGTACACCTATAACTTCACTGCACTCTTAACATACGTTGCAAACATAGTCTTTGCCTATTTTCTTTAAAAGTATGTCTCATCCCAGCTGAATCACCAGCGGTTTGTTTTCATTCAAATCCATCTGCCAGACGCTGGAGCAACTAATGAACTGCAGAATCTGGTCTATAAAAATTTGACTTAGCAAACAAACCATCAACATGTTGATGACACTGCCACCCAAAATATCACAGTTAACAAGAGTAACAATTTACATGGGCCCTAAGCCAGCCTATCCTTCCTATTTATATTTCAAGAAAGCATGACCTAATTTCTCTACAAGTAGTAGAATCTGGAGCTTTTGTTAATTCAGGGTTTTTTTCTTTCTTTCTTTAAGTGTATGTTTTTGCCACAGAAGATTACAGTAATTAGGAGGAAAAATATTTATTTGGGTAAAATTAAATACAGCAAGTATATAGCCTATAATAAGAATCTAAGAGTAACATGAACAGCCTGTAATGCTCCTTGTCAACAGCTGAATACCTGTCCTAGTCATCTAAGTGATAGACTCCCACACTTCAGACCAATCAGATGCACTGTCAATTCAATTCTGTCTATATTAGAACCACGTTGTTCTTGTTAAAGTCAAGTTTTCTCAATCTTCCAACAACTTTACATTTCCAGTATTATTGCCACTTTACAAAAAGTGGAAGATTAAGGTAGAGAAAACTGAGGGAAGAGGGAGAAAGACTAAACAATACAAGGCAGTAGAGCAAATAGGAGTACAGTTTCTCATACACAAGGTCAGAAGGAATTGGAAAGAATCATAGAACATGAAGAACAGACGGTCTCTTGTCTTTCATTTTAATATTTCAGACAATTCCACAGTTTACAGCTAATTTCTGAATAACAAGAACTTCCTGATTTATATTTAAGAATATAAATTTGAAACAGTTGTGGTGGCTAAAATAATCACTTTCTGCCTTCTAAATATGTTATGTAAGCATCTAAATAACATAAAAACCAGTAAATATTTTTCTGTGGAAAGCTTACCTGATAATTAGCATTGCACTTCACACACACCCTTTCATACATTTCTATAGGACAATATACGTGACTAGCTATAAAAGTGATCTGTTCACGTTCAGGTTGCAACAATGGTATTCATTGTTTTCATTATGGACAGCACCTGAAGAAAACATGGCAGCCAGACCAGAGTTCAGCAGTTCTAAGGCATTGGAAAAGGTAGTCATGTTTCCATGCATGCACTAATCTGTTGGTTGCTCGAACAAAATCCCACAGGAAATGGATAACCTAATTTATCAAAAAAACCACTTCTTTCCTCATGAATTTGTACAGGCAAGTATGTAGATTTCAACAGAGATTTAGACATTTACATTTAAAAATCAGATGCTTAAAAATTAGCAGCAAGCCACATATCCAAAACATAAGGTCTGTTTTTCCAGATAAGAAAATACTGTGACTTATCACCATCTCTGTATTAAACAAGATTAAAAATGTCAGAAACTAATTTCTGCAGATGCTTCACCTCTTTGTTTTACCTGCTTCTGTGTACTTTAATCCTACTTTTACTTCTTCGTGCTTTGCTTTTGGCGGTGGCCAGACAGTCTGGAGTCTCCCTGGAGTCTTGTCATCTTGCTCTGAGGGACTCAGGTCAGGCTGTTAAAATTACGCAAGAAAAAAATTAAAGTCTGCAGTATCAATTGATTCCAAAACAGCAACTTCCATGCTCAGTTCTACACACATACTCCAGAATGGTTATCTGTCTCATTCTACTAATTGAAACAGTACTCAGTTGGTTGGAAGGGATAATTTTGAGGAGGAAAATAACAATGCATGTGACATACAAGGATACGTTGGAACTGATTGCATCACTGTGGAGAGCTGTCTGTCCTTTGGCAAACCACAGAGGTGGTGAAGAATACTAAGGTTTTTTCCTGTATCTTTATTCCAGAATGAAAAGACCCCTTTGTGCTCCTCTTAGAAGCAAACATTAGTGCAATTCACCTAAGACGTAATTTGACAATATAATTTTCTGAAACCAGAGCTAGTTTATGAAATTCCTGCCCCACCCCCAGCAGATTGCTCAGTCCACATACCAGGTAATATTGCCACATCAAAGTACTCCTACAGCTGTTAATGGGACTGCACTGTCAACTGGAATGCTAAAATAAGTCCTTAATTTGGGGGGGAAGGAGAAGGGGGAAGGGAACAACCCACTAAACAAGCGTTCTTTTACAGGTTTATGTTTCGTGGGGTTTTTTTACATCTCCAACATTTCTGTTACCAGATTTACAACATGTTACTTGGAGTAATTGCATAGACACAACTGCAGCAACAGTGAAACCCTGTACAGAAATGGCCTCTTAAACGGCTCACATGAGCAAGGAAAAGGAAAGGCAAGACCCTTTGACTCCGGCTTTGCCTTGAGAAAATACAGATTTGCACTAGATCCGACGTTAAGCAGACACTTATAAAAGCCACTCCTGCTGACTCCTGCGCCTCCTCCCTCAATGTGTGTGATGACAGCTTCCCAAATAGGTCTGCTGTGAGCCACACAAATGCTGACGCCAGCACAGCACAGGGACTGGTGTAAGCAGGAAGAAGCAAGTCAGGAGTGGGAAGGGCACACTCAGACTGCTATTGCCGTACATGCCACAGCCAATGAGTACTTCTTTTCTACTCCCCATAGGTAATTTACTACAAACTGGTATTATCAGTCTACCCAAGTGTCAGTCAAGATTTTTTAAATGTTTTTAATTTTATGTAAGAATAAAAATTTTAAAGATAGTACAACCAACACCGCATATTAACTTAAAGAGCTTCAGGTTTAGGGTACAATCCTGCAAATTCAATCATTCAGGTAATTCCCACTTCAGCAACAACACTGTACTCGGCTGAGTACATCTGTACATCTGCCAAAGATGTAGCTGTAAGAATTTGGGATTAGGGGAATGCCAATTCAAGGGCTACTCATTTAATTAAGGAGTTCAAATCACATTCAAATTCATTTATGACTGTATGAAAACTTAGCATAGATTTTTTTCATTTCTTAATAATATACTAACTACATCTCCATATGCCTAAGAACATTAACCTTGTAAATGTTTATATTAATCCATAACTTGAGTCGCTGAATTGAAATCACTAAGTTAAACTTGGATAAGGTTAAATGCTTATCAATATTTGCAAAGCCAGGTATTTGCAGGTAAACAAGAAAAAAAACCCACTTCATATTCTATGTCTTGAACAAACTGAGCTGCAAATCACTGACAACCTCTTGTATCAGCTCTTATCATAAAATTATTCCTACAGGTAAAATGAAGAATTACTTTTAAAATTAAATAACTACATGAAACAAAACTGAGTGGATCGAGAAACTATTAAATAATACTACAGTAAATATCTGCAGCACCAAACCAATTTAAAGCCATACTTAACATCTAGGGAACTGTTACGTAGAGATTTTTTAAAATCAGAAACTGATCTTTAAGTTCTCACTTCCAATTGAAAGGCTTTAACTGTCACTGTCAGCTGTAGCCAAATTCTGCTACAACTGTAGATCATCAAAACCTTTGACAAATTAGCCCCCAGATTTCCTCGGCTGGGAATTCAAAATCTGAGACTGCCAAAAGAAGAGGGCAATCCTGACATCTCCACCAATAATATTTAAACAAGACATTATTTTTTTTATACTTCTACTTCCAGAGCTAAGGAGGAAAAACAATTCAACCTACAGATTTGTCTGATGGTCCATCCCCAGGTTTTGATTTTGACCTTTCAAATACAGCTTTCAAGGACTCTTTTTCATTTCTCATTTTGCGTTTTATGGCTTCCAGCTCTGAAGTATCTGCAGTTGTTTCTTTCTTGGGAGGCCGCGTGAATAAAGCTTTAAAGACGTCCAGTGCAGATTCAGCAGGGCTTGATTTTATCTCCTCAGAGGGAAATCGTGGTTCTCTTTTGCTGGAGGCTTTGTTCTCTTGAGCTTCATCGCTGTCCTCGGTCTCCCCAGATGCCTCACCAGAGTCCTCAGTTCTACCTTCATTCTTGGAGACATCTATGTTTAACAAGTGCGAGAGCTGTTCCAGGAAAGTCGGATTTGCTTTAGGTTCAGATGTTTTTTTTTTAATGGTCAAACCTGATGCAATACTGGATTTCTTAACAGGCTGTCGTAACTTAAGCAGAGCTAAATCATTCTCCCTCGGTTTAATTTCTGTAACAGTTTCCACATCTTCCGTGGTTAGTCCCTTTTTCCTCACACGTAGTCCACTAAAGAAGGCAGGCAGCTGGAAAGTCTTTTCAGCCAGTGCTGGTTTTTGGAGTGATATATTATCAACTGAAGGTCTTTGTTCTTCATCTGAAAGTTCTTGAGGGCATTCCCCTGTAGCAAGCAAGCAACTGAATTGCTCATCCATTAACATTTTGTCTTTTCCATTGGAGTCATGCTCTAAAATACTATCCAGCTCGTTCGGGAGCTGCTTAGAAAATTGTGGATATAACTCAATGCCATCTGCATCCACAGCGTCATCACTGTTGCTGTGCTCTTCTGATTCTGAATCTTCCTTATTTTGACTGCTACTGTCCAAAGCCTCAGCAGACAAAGCAGCATTATTTCGTCCATATTTGCTTGTATTGTTTTCATCGGTGTTTAGGTCTTTACTCTCTGTGTCCGATTCTGTGTCACTTGTTGTATGAACCAAAGTACCTTGTACGAGAATAGCATCCTTGTCATCATTGTCCGATTCAGACAAAGAAGTCTGTACAAACCTTAAATGCTGAAGAAGTAATTCGTTTTGGTCAGCTAACTCCAGCTCCAGGCCTGCTTGCCTGCTGGACATTGGGTCATCTCGGCCACTGGTACTATTCATGCTCTGCTGATTTTCTGAGTCGCCATTACAACCATTATCATTCCTCTCATGCCAGGTGTTAGCATGAGTGTTTATATTGCTCTGCAAAGGCTGAAATGCTTTAAGCACTGTTTCTTCTTTGGAACCTGTAGATTCAAACTTTGTTGTAAATCCAAACAGTGTTTTTACAGAAAATGTGGTGAAAGGGTCAGGTTCTGTTTCTGCTGTACTCTTCAAGTGTAAAAGCTCGCTACAATCGGGCACGCCATTATCTTCTTCCATGTTGCGTGAAGCGCAGAATAGGTTCGCTTCTAGCAGTGCTGCTGACTGCTGAACACTCACTACGCGCATTCAGGCAGCCGGTGGGACTGGCTGCAACAGGCGGCCCGGCCCGGCCCGGCCCGCGCAAGCCGCCCGCCCCCGCGGCCGGGCCGCCCCGGCCGCCCCGCCGCTCCTTCCGGCCGCGGCCGTCGGTGTTCCGAACTCTACCGCGGGACCAGCAAAGAGACCCACCGTAAAAAAAAAAAGTTCTCGGCAGCGCCTGGAACCTGTTCTCTCGCACACAGGGGTTTGTCCCAGCGCTAATCTCAGCTGAAACTTCGGCCAACGGTCCCCGCGGGGCTCCTCGCCCCGACGGGCTGCGCGCCCCCGGCTCCCGACGCGCCGAGCCCGCAGCGCCCGCAGCGCCCGTCGGCTACAGCAGCCGCCCCGCCGGGCCGCGCCGCGCCGCGCAGCCGCTTGCTACTTCCTTGTCCCGGTGCGCCAGCGCCGAGTGGCTTTCAGCAGAAAACTCCTGGCGGATTCTTTTGCATAGTCTTTTCACACGGAAAAAGAACTTCTTTTGTAAATCCATAACCACCAAAATATGTCAAATGGAAACCCGAGGTGACGAATCTGAAGTTTCCAATGCTTTCTCCTGAAGTTCTTCAGAGCCCCCAGTGCCCGGCCGGGCAGAGCCAGCTCGGGTGAGCGCCCTTGAAGACGAGGAAAGCAGGAAAAAAAGAGGCTCTCTTCCGATTTGCTGCAGGTTTCATCTGGAATGCAGATTTCAGCCTCCAGGGCCATGAACAAAAACCAACGAGACTGGTTTCATATTACCACTGTCCTTGCTCTGCACAGCTACTGTAGTGAGGTGCACACAGGTACTTATCAGAGACTCCGGCCGCACCCAGGGACTGGGAGCGCTGGGCGGCGGGAGCACGGCCCGCGCCCAGGAGGGCCGAGTTAACTGTTTGGAAATCGGACGGGCTGTCCATTCGCACCGCACCAGCCTTGGATTGTTCCAAACCAGAACAATCTCTGCTAACGAATTCTGGGATAATTTTCATCTCTCTGTATATTGCTACAGTACTGCTATATGTGTGAGATTTGTTTAGGTAATACGGGCAAAAACACTTGAAGGAAATTTTCAAGACTGTCTAACTCATTATTAACTTGTTAAGGGATACTATATATATTTTTACTAGTACATATAAAGAAAGTATGAAATGCTTCTAAGCATCTTTGATATTCAGAAAGTCAGTAACATTTAGGCCAGGTTCCCATCACAAGTCCCCACTTTTGTTATTTTTCTTATTTTTGGAATTACAGAGACTGCAAACCTGCAGGAATTTATATTCTTCTTATTCCCAAGCCTTTAAGAAGTTTGTTTAGTCAAATTTCCACACTGGTACCTTAGAAATACATTTTTTTTTTCTGCACCCAAGTTAAAGGGTCATTCTACAGTCGGCCATTTAGCTGTGATGAGTAATCTTAAACAAGCACCATGGGGAAAGTTGTCCTTCACAGGGAAATCAGCTGCAGATCACATCACTGTGTGTGATTTCCAAAAAACATTTACTGAAAAGCTGAATATTACAGACAACAAGCAACAACAAAGTACCCCAACACATTTAACTTTCAGTTTGATACTTAAAAATGTAGACCAAGCAAAAAGCATTTGTTTATCTTTTCAATATATTATATAACATCATAAAGTCAACAGCAAAACTCATCGGTATCTCCCCCAGGAAGAAAGTTTCCTGAAAATCATATTGTAATACTAAGGGCTTAGATGAAGCTTACAGACACCTTTTCAATTACAGGGTTGTGTGCATACCTGTAGACAAAGGGCACTGCAATCATTCCCATCTTTATCTGTGATTTAACACAGAGCAATGTCTTCTGCCTTACTGCCTGACATTTCTTGTAGTGAGCTCCGGACTTGCTTCTCCGCTATGCTTAATCATCAGGTGCAAAGGTAAGAAGCAACTGATGGGTCATGGCTCCCCTGATTTTCTAAGCTTAATACAGATTAATATCATAAAAAGAAGATCTAAGTAAGGAAAGAGACACAGAGTCTTTAGGACTCTCTACACCAACCTGCTCTTATAATCCTAGGATTTAAAAAACAGGTGGAAGGAAGCTACCTCAGCACTGGTGATTTCCAGCAAGACAAAATTTCTCAAAGGGAAAGCTACAGCAATTCTAAATTTCATTTCATGACAAAATAACTGGGGCAAAGTGATCACACTGAACCAAAGTTTCCTACATTTAAATTTACATCTATTTTTATGTTCAATCACAGGACTAGTTGGTCATTGTTCTAATAATTTCTATGGTTATGTCTTGTTTCTTTATTTATTTATGTGCCTATTTATTTGGGATTTGGTTAACTACATATGGTGGATAAACATGAAACCATATTTTCAAGAACAGTTTTGTTGGTCACTAACAAAAAATATACCATTATGAACAGCTTCATGGTACCTTTTAAACTAAACATACTTAATGAGATTTATCTATTTATTTATCTGTTAATATTAACAGCAACTTACACTTCTCTGTAATAAACAAGGGTCACCAAGCTGTAACAGTCCTATGAATATAAGGTTACTGATCATAGCTACTATTTAATTACTCAAGATTTTAATAGGATATATGAAAAGTTTACTTTTAAAGTGAACATAAAACAGGAATCTCATACTTTACTTCTAAACAACATCTCAAAAAAATTTAGAAGACAAGGATCAAATTAATAGGAAAAGGATGGTGCATTGGGTGTCAGGCTAGACCATGTGTTGAGATGCTAGGAATCCCAGAGTTGAATACTGAATAATTAAAACTCCAGAAGTAAAAATAATACTTTATAAAACCAGAGGTAATCTCACAAGCCTGCAGAAAATGATACTGCTTTATATGTACCTATATTTGTAATAAACTCTAAGAAGTGTGGAGAAACTTTCAAGCTTTTTGAGCTTTAGGACGAGCAAAGAAACTCATCTTGATATCTACCCCTGGAGAAATGATCAAAAACTGGAAGTCAGTCAGTCTCTCAAATTCACCACAGGGTCCATAAACCCCCAGTCTCAAATAAGGCTTTTGTAAGGACTTGTTTCTTACTTTCTGATGATCAGCCCAGTGGACATTCCCCTGTTGAGGGACTGGATAGCTGATAATTAAATGCACATTGGTTACTTACCCAAGAGTGTTTCTAGGTAAAATACATACATCAATATGTGCCCATTAATATTTTTATACAAAAAAGGGATCATCATATTGTGATGTGCAAATGAGACAGCCAGTTTGCTGGCAGATGTGTTTTAATGCTGGGTGGATCTCATAAGGATAGTCTCTCTGAACAGGCTGTAACACTGCATCTAAGGGAACAACTTCAAAATCTCTAGAAGAAATCAGTTATGATAATGTTACAAGCCTCTTTACTTCATAAAACTGACAACTCTCTGGTGCCTCAGAAAAGCCCTTAAAACCTGTCATAGCAACTTTCAGGGCAGTCAATGCACTAATTATACAAAAGGACAACCATTCCTTACAGTTTAAAGCACATTTAATAATCCACACCCTTTTTGACCTACATTTCATCACAGACAGAAGTCACACCTACAACTCACTCCAGTTCTTTTCTCAAGGTGTTTAAGAGCTTGTGAAGTAGGTTTTAAAACCAGCCTTGAAGAAAACACATATTAAGCCAGAATAAGGTGATCTAATTTCTATCACTGTCATATGGCAGGGCTCAAGACTTCCTGACCCCATATCTATTCATATTTCCTTTTCAGATGACTGTAGTAACAAACTAGATACAAGAACAGGACAGAAAGACACATTCTACAAAACAGCAAGGTGCCTAAACTGAATAGAAAACAATCTTTCTACTGCTTTTTCAAAATAAAGACAGAAAAGTTTGCATAATTTCTTGAAAATAGTAATAGAATCAAGTATGCAGCAATTGTGTCAGGCTTTGGGAGAGCCACATGAAGCACCAGGTTGTGGCTGTAGCTTGGGTGGTTTGAACTGATCTGAAGCTCAGCTGACACAGTCCTGCCCTCTGCCCTGTCCTCAGCCCAGCATTTACTGTGCAGAATTGATAGTGGTCTTAACATTCTCCTTGCACTCCTGTTTTTATCTCTTGCTGTTTATCTTGTTTTATACTTAGTATCTCTTTAAATGCTCTAAGAGAGAAAAGGCATGGAAGATGGAAGAAAACCTCTAAGTCCTTGACTGATCATTTTTCTCAGTTTTATGTGAGCAATTTTCCTGACTTTGGAGGATCTGGGTATTACCGACATAATTTCTTTAAATTTAAGTAATTAATTTTAGACATAACAATAGAAACAGAGATTGATAATTCTTATCAAAATTCTGTATTACATGATGTTAACAGAATGCATGGACACAGACACTTTTGGTGTAGAGGTCTGTATAACTGCAAAGTCCTTTGTAACATCATCTAAATTCTGCTTGACATTGAGATATGGACTACTTAAAAAGAATTTGAAAAAAGACTAATAGCTATATGCTTATAAAATCAGAAAGGACATTAAGAAAGTCAGTTTACTATTTTGAAGGAGTGCATACTGTATCAATAAATGTATGAAACATTTAGCCTGTAAAACCCATCATATGAAAAATCAGTGGTACTTCTGAGGCAGAACTTGTAGGAAGATGTATTGGCTGATCTAGTTAATACAAGCAGACTTACAAGTAACAAAGACAGGGAAGACAGGGAACAGAAGATCACTATAAACTGTGTAAGTAAACTAAGTAAGATCTTTGTGCATTAAGGCACAAAGGCTGGTACTCAGTGTAACAAAGAATGGAAAAGAATTTTTAATCTTTTTCCTTTTCTAGGTTGCTCTCTCTTCGTCTCCTTTCAATAGGCCTTTTGCTCCCCATCTACAGTATGATATAATAGTTTAAACATTAAACAAAAAACTTTATAAAATAAAATCCAGTTACATTAATTTACCATAATTTTTTAAGTAATGACTAGCTATTAATAGTAACTTTACCTGAATTTTCACATCTCACTTATGTATTTTTTTATCTGAGATGAAATGCCATATAAAAAATAGGGCAGACTTGCATTTCCATTTTGCTTCATTATCT